CGCGCCCACGGCCTGCGCCCCTTCGCCGTCTACCAGGGCAAGTGGAACGCCGGCTTCCGCGACATGGAGCGCGAGATCGTTCCCATGTGCCGCGACCAGGGCATGGCGATCGCCCCCTGGGCCCCGCTGGGCCAGGGCCGGTTCCGCTCCGCCGAGGCCCGGCAGCAGCATGAGGGGTCCGGGCGGGGTTCGAAGCCCACCGAGGCAGATCTGAAGATCTCGGAGGTGTTGGAGAAGGTTGCCGAGCGTAAGGGGACGAATCTCTATGCAATTGTGAGTTTGTTTTCTTTGCCTTTTGCTCTCTTTTCCCTCTTGGTTCATTGTATATTGTGTGTGTGTGTGTGTGTGTGTGTGTGTGCAACCCCCCGACTGACTTCCTCCGAACCCAGGCCCTCGCCTATCTCCGCTACAAACAACCCTACATCTACCCGATCGTCGGCCAGCGGAAGGTCGAGCACCTCAAGGCCAACATCGACGCCCTGAAGGTCGAGCTCACCAAGGCGGAGATCCGGGAGATCGACCTGGCCGCCCCCTTCGACCCCGGGTTCCCGAACACGATGCTGTTCGGCGGCAACGACAAGTACGACGTCGGGTTCACGGCCGCGGATATCTCGTTGACCAACTGGGCGGCGCATATCGATGCGCCGGCGCCGCAGGAGGCTGTGAGGCCGCGGAAGGAGTGAGTACGGCGCTGGCTGGTGGGTGGTGGAGGCCTAAATGTGTACATAGTCTACGTGTGTAGTGTGCAAATATGGAGTTTTTGTCGCGTTGTGAGTGTGATATGTTTGGTTGGTGGGGGGAAGATGGGGGCAGTAGGTAGTAGAGTGTTGTTTCATTCAGACATTATCTGGTGATCGTGTTCCTGGTACCGTACCATGGGACGTTGAAGTAGGACTACAACTCACATCAAGACGCGACGCTTGCTTCAAGCCCGACGGATCTCAATATGAAACAGCACAGCACGACCATCCCGCCCACGTTTCACCATCGCAGACCCCCCGTTCTACCACGGTCGAGAACCTCGGAACCGTTGCAACAGCCATTAAGCCTGAAACTTGATGACGACGAGGGTCGATGAAAGTCTAGATTGCGGCAACGGGCTGTGACTTATGGTGGAAAACGTGGGCGCAATAAATGGTTTCCCGGCTGTGGAGTGGAGAACGGCGGGGTTTATTCTACACCTTCTACTATGCACCTATGTCTTTTGACAAGGGGGCTTGACTTTTTGTACTTCGAACTACAAAATTAGGGGCCCGGATTAAGATCCTGGCGCAACACACTGGGCAGTATTAAGGTTCGTTTCTATCATTCTGGTGGGTGGTGGTGGTGGTGCAGTCAATTCCAGAGTTAGCCGGAGTCAAGAGTTCGCGGACAGACGATTCGGAAGCTCGAGTTTAAACAACGAGGAGTCGGTGAACATATAGCCGGCCTAGCTGCGCAATGTCGTCTTCGAACGATGGATTGGGTTTTGACCTGGGATGCCGCACGGGTTTCTGCTCTGCCGGTTCGGCGATTGGAATGGTTTGTATGGTTCGCATGGCTTGGCAAGCAGCAACTATCGGGAATTTTTGGCGCTCTGGAGCGAGGGCGCAGTACTAGGTGCTGTAGCTGGTCGGCATATTTTGACCATCAGCCGAGGTTGTGCAATGACACTGCCGTCTGGGGGATGAGGCAGCTGGTGTCCGTCTGACTGATGAGCATTGTAGTCTGATACCTCAGAGAAAAGCAGAATTACTGAGGATGAACGAGGCCAATGCCGAGGAATAACTCCGAAGGCGGTAGCTCCAACTGCCCACTGCCCACTGCCCCTCTCCTCCCCTCCCCTCCACGCCCTACCACGCCCTGTCAGAATGTTGAGGCCCCGCCCTTTCGTTCAACTTCAACTCAACCAAGCAACGCCTTTACGGATCAATTTGTCAATAGGTATTTGCCATCCATCAAGTGACATTCTGCGAGAGTGTCCTTTGATCTCTTTGCTGCTTCCCTCGTGTCAAAGACTAACCCCTCAGTTCACAATAGAATAGCGCATATCCGCATCTATCCTCCCCACTCGTTCAACGTTCAACATCGATCGCCGACTCAATCCTTGTCTCTCTGTATCGGTTCTATCTAGACGAGCGGTCAATCGAGCTCGCTCATCTCGCCCATCGATCCGTCGCTTCCCGCGCATCACTTGCGACCCATAAGGAGTCTGTTGGGAAATATTGGACCACGAAGCTCTAGGATATTGTCGGTCGGAAGTCGAGGAAATTCGCCGGATCCCAATATGTCGTCCGCTCCGACCGCAGACATGACCCCCGCGGAGGCTGAGTCCGTCTACTTCAACAACTACCCCCCTCCCAAAGCTCTTCCGAAGCACGAGGCCCTGGCGCGCGCCTTCGTGGACTTGCATGTCCAAGCGGGCCGGCGACTGGTCCTCGTCACTTCCGGAGGCACCACCGTTCCTCTGGGTTTGTGGGCCGGGCACTGCGCACAGGAATCACGTCTAACCGTGTGCAGAGAATCAAACCGTGCGCTTCATCGACAACTTCAGTGCCGGCACTCGCGGTGCCGTGTCGGCGGAGTACTTCCTGCAACAGGGCTATGCCGTCATTTTCCTCCACCGTCAGTTCAGTCTGCTGCCATACTCGAGACACTACAGCCACTCGACCAACTGCTTCCTCGATTTTATGGACGATGACGAGTCCGACTCGGAAGACGGCCCGGTCGTGGTGTGCAAGGAATACCAGGATCAGATGCGCGACGTGTTGCGCAAGTACAAATACGCCAAACGAAACAACCTCCTCCTACTCCTCCCCTTCACCACCGTCTCCGAGTATCTGTTCGAACTGCGGTCGCTGGCGCAGTTGATGAAGCCCCTGGGGCCCCACGCCCTATTCTACCTGGCGGCAGCGGTGAGCGACTTCTTCATCCCCCGCGATCGCATGTCGGAGCACAAGATTCAGTCGTCGGAGTTACCGAGCCACCTGAAAAGCAGCGGCCAGGGCGAAGATTCGTTGGACATATACACCGGAGGACTGGAGCCGCAGCCGGTGCCGAACCGGAGCAAGAAACTGGTCATCGACCTGGACCCGGTGCCCAAATTCCTCCACCGGCTCGTGGACGGCTGGGCACCGGATGGGAGCATGGTGGTCTCCTTCAAGCTGGAGACGGACCCCAATCTGCTGGTGTACAAGGCGAAAACCGCCCTGGAACGGTATGCCCATCACCTGGTGATTGGCAACCTGCTGACGACGCGGAAATGGGAGGTGGTGTTTGTCACGCCGGAGCCTCCGTATGAGCGTTGGATCCGAGTGCCCAAATCGCGGCGCAGCAAGAGCATTTCCGGTAGCGAAGACCAGGTCGGGTTGGCCGAGGCGGCCAAACAGCGGGCGGGCGAAGCCGCGCTGACGGGAGAAACCAGTGGGGGCGGCAGTGGCAGTGGCAGTGGCAGTGGCAGTGGTGGTGCCCCCGATCGAGTCCCCGAGGTGGTCACCACCGCGGAAGAGGGGGTCGAGATCGAGAGTCTGATCATTCCTGAGCTGGTCAAGTTGCATTCCAACAAGATTGCCCAGTACGGTCGGTCGGCATAATGTTGTAGCATAGATGGTGATGGTGGTGGTGGTGGTGTTGCTGGTTGCAGGAAAAGAGAGAGTAAATAAAGTATTGCAGCTGTTGGAGGTCGGAGTCTGTGACTGATTCTAGAGAGAAAGGAGCTAGGGACACTTCTTAGTGTGAGTAGCTTAAACCCTGTAGTGTGAGTATGAGCATACCCTCAGTAAATCCGTGTGCAGCAGGGTCCATTGCTTCCTCGAATAGATTAATTATTGGAAAATTTGTCCCCCTCGGATTGGGGGCGGCAGAAAAGGCATTGAACGCACGCTGGATTGAACCCGCAACGGCTTTTTCTTCCCGAGTCCCCTTCTCTTCTCCTTTCTTTCCCTTCCCCTGATTTCAATTCTAGCTCATGGCCTGGCCTTGAATCATGGTTCTACCATGCGAGCACATCTATTCTTCTATTCATCATGAATCCAATATCAATTCATCAACGTTGACAAGCTGGCAAGCTGACAAGCTGACATGGGGTTGGTGTTGGCTTCGCAAAGAAAGCTGAGACAGCAAACCGCCGGGCCTGTCAGGGGCGGTTTCAGGATTGCAGCTCCTCCTCAAACCATGGCTCAGTCGGGGCTGCTCCAGTCGGGCCCTGGGGGGTTAGTTAGGCCAACGCGTCATCGAATTGCTGGGCTCAGTGGGCTGAGAGTACTGAATAGGGACCACCGTTTGGGACTCCAGATCGTCTACTAGACACTGTGGGCCGATCTGCGCTTTGCCTACGTGCCTTCCTACGTCGCCATCCCCACGCCCCGTCGAAAGACAGCTTCATTAACCGTTTTCTCTTTCTTGGCTGCTGCCTCTTCTTGTCTTCTCTTCTTTCTCTTTCTTTCTCATCATCTAGTGATCTAGTATCCTGTCTACTCTGTCCTTCTTCCCCCCCCCCCCCCCCCCCCCCCCCCCCCCACCCCCCTCCCCCCCCCCCACCCCTCTCCCCTCTCCCCCCCCCCCCCCCCCCCCCCCCCCCCCTCCTCTCCTCCTCTTCTTTTTCTTCCTCCCTCCTCCCCCACAGATTCTCACCCTCCGCTCCAAACCCTATCCTCATTCTTTTCTTCTAAGCGCCAGGCGACTGCGTTCCTACCCGTGCTCTCAGGAATCCGACCCCGTTGTCCGACAGTCCCCAGAAAATAAACACTCGAGGAGGTGAAAGCTGTCAGCGATTGAACCTGTCGACACGAGCCGCATTGATAGACACAGGAAGAAAATGATCAACGTGTTGCAATCAATCTGGAGGATCGGTCCATAATATTGCTGTTTCAGTCGCTTCTTCTTTTCTCTTGTCTGTCACTCACAGTTCAACTTGTCCCACTCCGCTGCAGGTCGGCTTCCGTTCTGATCTAATCACCAACCAACCTCCTCTTCCTCTTTCCCCCTCGTTTCCCCTCACGTCAACCACCACTGCTGCGAGGATGTTCCGCCGCTCTCGTCGCATCGCAGCCCTCTCCGCCCTCCTGGGACTTATCCTCCTCTACCACTTCTACACCCTCCGCTCCGAGCTACATCCTCAAAAAAATGACGAGGCCCGTCGCACCCTTCCCGAATGCCCACCCCTCCCGGGGATGGAGGACGTCCTCGTCGTGATGAAGACCGGCGTCACCGAGTCTCTCGACAAAGTTCCCGTCCATTTCCACACCACCCTCCGTTGCGTCCCCCACTACGTCATATTCTCCGACTTTGCGGAAGAAATCGAAGGTGTCAAGATTCATGACGCCTTTGTTGGAATGGACACGACCGTGCGGGATACCGTCGAGGACTTTAACCTTTACAACCGCCTTCGCGAACAAGGCCGCGCCGGTCTCGCGTCCGCCGACTTCGCTGACGAGGCCAATTCCAACATCGGCAAACCCAACAACCCGGGCTGGAAGCTTGATAAGTGGAAGTTTCTCCCGATGGTTCAACAGGCGCTGGCCTATAAAGACGATGCGAAGTGGTACGTCTTCATGGAGGCGGACACCTATTTCTCGTGGCCGACGCTTCTCGCATGGCTCGCACATTTCGACTCCAGCGAGCCGCACTATATCGGAACCGAGACCCAGATCGCGGACGTCATCTTCGCGCACGGCGGATCAGGCTTCCTCGTCTCCAACCCGGCCATGCAGCTGGCTTCCAAAGAATACGCCGCTCGGACGGTAGAGTTGAACGAATACACCGATTGGCACTGGGCTGGCGATTGCGTCCTAGGCAAGGTTCTCGCGGACGCCGGGGTGCCCTTGCATTACTCCTGGCCCATGCTCCAGAACTCCAACCTCGGCGAGATCGACGAGTTCGCCACGGGCTTCTATCGCAAGCCGTGGTGTTTCCCCGCCGTGGCGTTCCACCACTTATCATCCCGCGACATCCAAGATTTGTACGAGTATGAGCGTCGCAGATGGCAAGATGTACGTGCTACCACCCTATCTTCTTCCCCTGTTGAACCCCCACCATCTAACACATCCCGCGGCCCATCAGGTCAACAAACACATCCTCCTCCACCGCGACGTCTTCAAGGAACTTATATACCCCGAACTCTCCAACGTCCGCGACAGCTGGGACAACCTTTCCGACCAAGAACGCCCGGACATCACCACCTTCCACGAATGCCAGACCGTGTGCGCCGACGCAGCCAACTGCGCCCAGTTCGTCCTCCGCGCCGGCGTCTGCTTCCTCGGCGAAACGCCCCGACTGGGAGTCCGCAACCCCGACGCTCGGTCCGGCTGGATCCTGAACACGATCGACAAGATGATAGAACATGCGCCACGGTGTGGTCGGCCGGACTTTGGTTTATAGACTTTTTCTCTCTCTCTTTCTTGCCGCCCCAAAAATCACACAAAACACTTGTCAGAACTATTCGCTGGCCGAGTAATTCATCCCCAAAAGCTGATGAAACTATTTTCCTTTTTGCGGGATGGTGGGCTTGGTGCTACCCGTTTTCTTTTATATTGGATTAGATTATCCTTCAGTTTCTCCCCACCGGACATCGTGCTGTTCTTGCCAATCCTCTGGCGAGGGACTATGCATGCATTGTGGTTGATGGCGTTCTGGGGAAGGGGTGTTTTTTTATTACGATTTTTTTTTATTTTCAGCTTCTTATTCCTCGATTTTGGCTTGCATCCACACCAGGCGTCTGGGTTACAGAGGGAGCACGAACCACCAGAAAAGAAGTTCCTTGACTTTTCTCTACTGTGTGAGAAACAAAATGTCTTGTTGCATTCTTGTTTTTACTGTGTCCGCTTCAGCGTTTTCTTTTGGCCAAGCTTGCTTTTTTGTATCGTATACAATATGCTTTATACCAACTCATGCAACCACAAGTTTATACTTCCATCCGCGCTTCCAAACAGAACATCAACATAGCATATCATAGGGTAGCACAACAGGAAAGCCACGGATCCCAACCCAGGTACCCAGTTAATGGATAGGAAACTTCAGGGGGGGACTCCTCGGGTCTTCCAGACACTGGTCGATGCGCATGATGGTCTTGTTCTGGCTCTTGACGAACTGGATCACCTCCCGGAAGTAGCTGACGGTCGTGGAACTCAAAAAGTGCATGACGGCCAGATTGCCTCCGTGCCTGACGTCCCGGAAGAAGGCCTCGCGTTGCTTCTCCGGGGTCTTGGAGTCGGCCCACAGCCAGTCCTCGATGTCGACGCTCCAGGTGATGATCTGGGGGTCGGTGATGTAGTTGGCCAGGCGTTGGCGGGTGCGGGCGCCGAGGGTGCCGAAGGGGGGACGGAAGTAATGAGCTGCGTTTGGAAGTAAACAGTCAGCCAGTCGGGTTTGCACATCTGCGCCGTGTTTTGAGATAGGTGGTTCATACTCTCGATCCCCAGTATCTGGCGAAAAGACTTGATGTTTTCGACGATCTCGCGGTCGATCTCTGCGGTGGAGCCTAGGCCTTCCATCCTGTATCAAACCCCTGGTTAGTCGCATATATTCTGGTGATTTGGAGAAAAGCACAAAACCGCCATGTCTCCACACGACAGTATAAAAGGGGGACATACTTCCGATGCGTATCCGAATGCAGGGCGATCTGATGGCCGCGCTTGATCATCTCGCGATAGACGTTGGAGAAGTTGGTCTCGCGGTCGCGCAGGCCCAGGCCGACCACGAAGAAGGTGACCAGCACGCGCTCCTCCTCGAGGATGCGCATGACCTCCTGCGCGAAGCGGGGCTGGCCGTCGTCGATGCCGAAGGCGAACGAGTCCGGCCGCGAGCACGTCAGCATCAGCCGGCCGTTGTTCACGCGGTGGGGGACGGGGAACCCGACGGGGATGGCGGGGACGATCTCGACGCGGTACAGGGTCAGACTCTCGAGCGACCAGAAGCCGCCGAAGCTGACCGACACCGCCCGGCTCTGGTCGATGTGGAAGTGCGCCAGCGGGATGTAGATGTCGTTGCCCCGGGCGTAGCGCGCCGCCTCCACCACGTCGGACGTCTGCGGGAACGGGTTGCGCGTGAAGTCGCACGCCGCGTTGTGCTGGTTCACGAAGATCGAGAACTTGGTCGTCCCGCCGAAGACGACGTGCAGCGCGTGCGTGGGCTGCTGGCTCCGCAGGTCGTAGCACGACGACGCCGACAGCTGCGTGTGGTAGCTGTGGTCCGGGTCCGAGGGAAACAGCCGCACGAACCCGTTGCCGTGGTGCACGGTGAGTCCCTCGAGGGCCCCGTGCCAGTGGCCTAGAGCATTGATGTCTTGGTGCTGGAAGGTGTCGATCAGGATGCTGTTGGGCGGGCCCTGTGGGTTGTGGAAGGTGGTGGTGGTGAGGTTCAGGGTTGGTGGGGAGGGTGGGGAGGGTGGACGAGGTGGTAGCGGTGGTGGTGTTGCTTGGGTTGGGGTGATGAGGGCGTTGATGATGAGAAGGAGGAGGAGCGAGAGAGTGGTGGACATGCTCGGGGCCATGGTGGATATCGTGGATTGCTTGTTAGAATCACGATCGGATGTGCTAAGCAGTGCTGTGATGCGGTGATGCATTTGCTGTCTTGGTGGTGGTGATAGAGTGATCTTTTCGGTGTCCGATGTTGAAGCTGGCTCTGTGCTGGAAGGAGCTACGAGGTAATATGCTACAAAAGTCGACTTTGGGAAAGAGCAATCCTATGATTCGAAAAGGTTGTGATAGTGAAAATATCAACTGTGATAGACATTTCTCTAACCTCCACATGTGACTTTGTCTGGAAGACGAGAAAACGACGCCGTTGATCAAATCCTCATCCCTATCTACCACCCAACAAGCGTTGTCGTTGGCCGGAGATCCTGCAACACCGAAATACATCATCCGCCGTCAAGGCAGAAAAACTCGATCAGACAGCGTCCGCTAGATCTCCGGGGCATGACTGGAATAAGAAGCGAACCCTACAGCATCATTCTCAAAGCCACGGAGGTATCAACTCCTCAAACAGCATCGGGGCAAGTATGGCTCAGAAGACTGTGAACCAAGTGAGAACAGAAAGGGTGTTTAAGTCCAACGAGCTGAGTCCGTCAACAAAAGGTCCCACTCCATGCCTCATCAACTCTGAGTGGAGAGCTGAGATGCCCAGTGCGAATTCCGAAGTCAGCAGACAAGCCAGAGCTCCAGTCTTAGAAACCCCAATCGGTGTCTGATGCCTGGGGCGCGTTGCCAGCATCGTTGTCATCCATCTGAATACCTCCCCACGCTGCACCGCCGTCGTCTCCAGTGTTGCCGTCACCGTTATCCTCATCATCGGTATCGTCCTGAAAGTCGATCTTGTTGTCGACAGGCTTGTAGGACTCGAGGAAGTCAGGAATCTTCTGGCCGCTCTCAAGAAGGATGTTGACAAGGTCAAGGGCAAGTTCCTGATCATCCTCGTTGTAAAACGAGGACGCCAGGCCTTCATTCCCAATGCGAGCAGTGCGTCCTATCAACCGTTAGCGTGAGTCGCTATGGGGATGGCTCTTCCAACATACCAATACGATGAATGTATTCAGTGATACCTCCGTGTTGGGCACGAGGCAGGTCGAAGTTGACGACATGCATGACATTCTTGATATCAAGGCCGCGAGCCGAGACACCAGTGGCCACGAGGATGGGGCACTTGGCCGTGCGGAAAGCACGCCTATCTCTCGGTCAGATGAGGGTTTCACAATCTTTTGGAAGGGGGATACCTACAAAGCATCTTCACGCTCACGTTGAGTACGATCGGCATGGATAGAGGTACTTGGCAGACCCATATTGAACAGGTAATCATCCAAAAGGTCGGCCTGAGTCTTCGAGTTAACAAACACCAGGGTTCGAGAAGGGGGCATGGAGAGCAGAAGGTCATAGAGACACTGCTTCTTCATGTGCCGCTCCGCAAAGATGATCTGCGGCCATGTTAGTAACAGAAAGAAGCAGTCATTCAACAGGGAGCCCTACGTTTTGCTGCACGTTGATGTGAGTGCTACCAGGACGTCCGATGCGAATGCGAACATGATCATCTGCGAGGTACTTGCGAGCCAGCTCACGGCAAGCCTTGTTGAAGGTCGCAGAGAACATCATGTAACGATGGTCGGCATCCTCGTTCACATCTATCACATGTAAGTGTCAATTATGGTAAAGAGAACACAACGATATCAGCGTACCTCCTCCCGACATGATCTTGTTGAAGTCCGACTCCCAATCAGACTGGAGAAGCTCATCGGCTTCATCTATAATAGTGTACCTGTGGTGCCGATCAATTTTACATATCTTTTTTGCTCGGGAGTCGACTTACTTGACACGATGAAGCGAAAGCATGTGAGGCCTATCCATGAAGTCAAGGAGTCTTCCGGGAGTGGCAATGAGGATATCGCAGCCACGCTGCAGCTCGTCCCGCTGATCACGGAATGGCGCACCTCCATAGACCACACAAGGACGCAACATAGACCGATAACACAGGCGTCTTGCCTCGTCGAAGATCTGAGTTGCAAGCTCACGGGTCGGAGCGACAATGAGGACCAAAGGCTCAGCCCGGACAGCATCCGTGGCAGGATTGTAACCAGCGGCCACATTAGGACGAGGAGCGGCGAGCTTCTTGGCCTTACCCATCAGCTGGGACAGGACGGGAATGAGAAAAGCCGCAGTTTTGCCAGATCCTATTCATGTCAAATGGCTGTTGCAACATGAAAGGCAGAGCTGCTTACCAGTCTGGGCAATGGCAATCAGGTCATGTCCAGTGAGAACTGCTGGGATCGAATACGCCTGGATGGGTGTTGGGTGTGCGTAACGACAGAGTTCAATATTCTTGCGCATAATCGGATGCAGACCAGCGTCATCGAACTACAGCGATCAGGATCATGATCACACTTAGAACAGGTAGAGAATCAAACGTACGTCTCTCACAGGGTTTGGTCTTTCACGACTCTCGGCGACGACCTCAATCTTTTGTAGACTATACACAGTTAGCGATTCGCGATGGGAGACTTCTAGACTGCAGCTGACATACTTTCCAATCTTCAGACCAGCCCGGTTGATGAATTCGTTTCGGAACAGTTGTTCCTCAAGCTCAGGTATCTCCGGGCCTACATCACCATACTCATCCTTCCATTCATACTTGGCTGCATTTGCCGCCCACTCGGGGAGCTGACCGTCACCAGCGTCGCCAGCGGGTTGCTCAGCAGGAGCTGGAGTAGCAGTATACTTGTCATAGTCATAGCTCTCTGGAGCCACCCACCCCTTCGCGCGGGCCAGGTTGGACGCGTCGTTCTCTTTGTTGTCGTGAGTGTTGGTCACATCGTCGAGCGCGGTGTTCAACGAAGACATATTAAACTCCGCCATGATTGCTCGTCCAGGGCTGGACTAGCACCCAACGACGTCCTACGTGACAAACTCTTGACACCAACCTAAGAGGTAACTCGTAGTTAGGACAACGAACAAGTGTTTGTTTTATAGAGCAAACGGTACCTTTTTCGACAGAGACGCGTGAGATAGTCAGAGTCGTTAGACTGTGATAAGAACAGATGACGAGGAGAGACAGGCGCGGAGACGAACGAGAGGAAGGGTAGTGCACTGCTTACAGGGATGCATGAAAGATGGGAATGAAGAGGAAGGGGAAGGAGAAAACAAATGAGACGGAGAGGAGGGGAGAGGAGGGGAGCAGTGAAAGGATGAGAGAGAGAGAGAGATGAGGTGGTGTGGGCTGGCCTCAGCAACACCTCACCCCGAGTCGAGCAAACGGATTGCACAACAAGACACTTCAGCGGAGTGAGGCCAATGAGAACCGGTTCTCGAGCCTTTTAAAATGTAGTACCTACGGAAAATTCATATCGTAATGGGAGTGACCAGGGAAGATGACTACAAGGCACGCAGGATCAAATACTCATACTCGGAAAATTCGATGACCACAGTCGAGTTCCTCAAAACTAAGCGGAATTATCATCTGGCCTCCCCTTGAGACAACTGACGAGGATCTATTTGTCTGAGGAGAAAATAATATCATGCAGACAGCCGAGAGCCGAGTGAGGCATTTTACTATCAGTCAATATATTTGACCAGTTCTAGATGCTCGAGTGTTGCTGTCTGTCTCTCGTTTACCATGCCTGATGGCTTGAGGCCGGGTTGAGGCAATCTCATCCTCACTCCAAACTCCGTTCATCGTATACCCTTACGAAGTACTAGAAATTTCTCTAGCTGCTTCATCTCATTCTACATACCAAACACAAGCAAAGCCCCCTAAGCTTCCACATGTCTCTCCTACTCTCACATTTCCTCTGAATAGATCTGCAATAACACTAACGACTATTTGCCGATGTATGATTTGCACCACCACCCGACCTGGACACAGCTGTCATTCATGACCCCCGTCTACCATCACAAAGCCATAGCCAGCAAGGCGATGTGGGCTCTTGCCTCAGGGGCCATCTCCATCCCAGATGGGTGCGGGTCCAATTTCCCGAGGCTCTGGCGCAGCGGCTGCACATATTGTGAAAGATGTGCAATTTGTGAGTGGACTCATGGATGACAATATGTTGGATGCAGACAGCAAGCATACAAAAAGGTGCAAGTTTGAACTGGCTCAGTTGCAGCTATGTCAGTTCTCGGGGTCAACATCCCCTGAATCATTTGCCTCATCTAAAGCAGCTATGTCAGTTCTCGCGGATCAACGCAATCATAGACATCCACCGGTGTCGTACCGGTGGGCCTGTCTTTCCCAAGTCAAGGTCTGACATTGGGTCAGGGACCAGATGAAGGACTCAAATTTGCAATGTGTCTGGTCCGCTAGTTCTACCAGAGCTCGTGGAGAGTTCCATGTCGAGTCTGAGGATGATTATGCTGGATATATCGACTGCGAAATTACATTATTTCTTGCAGGTCTGGGGAAAATGCACTGCGATGCCAACTGCGCACGACCGAGAATCTGTGGAATCAGCTATCCGTTTGCCTCGTACGATCATGACCGGAAAAGACCCTCTGAGGATTTGTGAAAGACAAAGCATGAAGAATGAATATGTCCCAAGAACCAGGGCATCGATATATGGGCACAGGAGCTATAAGTGACTGGCGTTGTGATGGAGGGGAATCCCCGGGTGGACATGATGCGCCTGCCTGGAGCATACGGGCCAATGCTGCTGTCTACCGACGTGGACCTACAGGACTTCGTTTGACAACTTGTCTTTGGTTTCCTCCCGTATTACTGAGTAGCAGTCACTGGACCGGTAAAAGTGAGGTATTTATGCAATCGTTCCTATGCTTGTGGGTCGAGTAGCTTTAGTATAACTCGTGCCTCGTTCCTAAGGCACCACGAAATGTCCCGACGTCACTTCAGGGGCAAATACCACTCGTCGACTTGCATGGGAAAAGCATATTTCGACCGATGCACTCACCCCGTTTTGGCCAACAATGAAGCCATGAGGCCCTAAGGCTACGAGCAGATGATGTGAGGATAGATCCCCTTACAGAACAGTGGCGCGGCACG